GACAGGACGCTAGCCACCATCACCTTCTTAAAAATTTTTTATTTTTATTTGATTAGTTATTTCCCCCCCTTGTTGTGTACTGTCAAATCAGATCCAACTGGCACAGGAAGAGATTTTCCCTCCTTCTCTAATAGAGCATCTGGTAGATTTGAACCGCGCATCTTTGAGATTGCAGAGCAGCTTCTTGCCACTAGGCCACCAGAGCTCCCACTTTCTTCCTTTTATAAATAGACTTTCCCCAGCGCTCTGGGAAATGCAGAAGATGATGCTTCGCCCAATTCTGCTCTTTCTGGAGAGTTCAGACCTTGCTCTCCACAATGGTGCTGGTTGATAACAGGCGTGCGATCCAGGGTCTGCAGGCAGGTCTGCAAAACACAGGACCCTGCACTGAATTCTAGCTGCTTATAAATAATAAATACTGCCTTTTAGTATCAGGGTGTCCCATGGAGCCCTGGTGGCACAGTGGAGCGAATGTTTAGATGCTAACCACAAGGTTGGCAGTTCAAGCCCACCAGTCTCTCCTCAGGAGAAAGATGTGGCAGTCTTGTTCCTGGAGATGTTTCTTTCTCTTTTTAAATGTGTCCTTGTTTTATTTCTTGCTCCTGCAAAGATTTGCAACCTCAGGGACGTTAATGGGGGCAGTCCTCCTTTGTCCTGTGGGTCGCTATGAGTTGGAATGCACTCCCTCCCTCGTAGTGAGTGTGATTGAGTTTTGGTCTGGGGAGGAAGTCTGTATTTCCGGTTCCCTTTCACAGAGCAGGACTGGGGGATTCAGGAGTAAGTGAGGCGAGTTGCCTGTGATCCCCAGGCTGAGAAGCAGCCTGGCTCATCCTGGCCTCACCACCCCGCCTGGGGAGATGGCGGGAACTAGCTCCTGGGATGTCCAGTTGATTCTGATTCATGGCCGCCTTGTAGGACAGAGCAGAACTGCACCTGGGGTTTCCAAGGCTAGAAAGTTTCAAGGAAGCAGATTTACCTCATTGTTCTCTCAAGAAGCAGCTGGTGAATTTGAACCTCTGACTTTTGAGGTAGCAACCCAGTGCTTACTCTGCAGACCCACCAGAGACCTCATACTGGGGACAGGCGGGGAGCAGGAATGCTGGCTGTGGGGTGGGAGGGAGCGCCTTCAGGCAGTGGCTTTCCCTCACAGGGCGTAGACAAGTGGACGTCGCAGGCCTGGTGGTGGGGCTGACATCTGGGATCCTCCTCATCGCCCTGGCTGGCCTGGGGGCCTTCTGGTACCTCCACTACCGCCGAGGCCGAGTCCGAGGCCGGCAGTCCAGTCCCCAAGAGTAAGGGGGGGTCTCAGGGAGGTTGGGTCAGGGCTGAGGGGTGGATAGCAGGGTCTGCTGTGGAGGGAAGAAGGGTCTCAATGGAGCATGGGGCAAGGACTGGGGGTGTCCACGTTCATTTTGGTCACTGATGCAACATCTGAGGAGAAAGACGAGTGGATGGTGAGTCACAGCTTGTGGTGTCTATGGTTGTCTGTCTGTCACTGTTTTATGTGTAGGCTGTCTGTCTATATCTGATATATCACAAATACGCTTTTAAAAAACCGTAAGTATAGCCCAGAAAAATAGCCGTGGTGGTGTAGCATCTTATGTGTTGGACTGCCAGCCCTGAGGTTGGGAGTTCAAGTTCATCAGTGGCTCTGAAGGAGAAAGAGAGGCAGTCCCCTTCAATAAAGATTCACAACCTCAGAAACCCAATGGAGGGTCCTAGTAATTGGAATCCACTTGACGGCGGTAGGTGATAGCCGGATATAGTTCATTAAGTATCAAGCTGCTAATCAAAAGGTCAGTAGTTTGAATCCACCAACAGATCCATGGGAAGAAACTGGACAGTCTGTTCCTATAAAGATTTACAGCCTCCGAAGTCCAGGGGAGGGTTGCTGTTAGTTGGAATCAACTCGATAGTCATGGCATTTATTGCATATTTTTATTCTCAAGCTCAATGTTTGAGCATTTTGCTGCAAACCAACAGGCCAGAGGTTTGGATGCACCAGTGGTTCTGTGGAGGAGAGACCAGACCATCTGCTCCGGCAAATAATTAAACAGCTTGGAAATCGTATGGGGCAGCCCTACTCTGTCCAGTAAGGTCACTATGAGTCAGATTGACTTGATGGCACACAAATAGCAACACATCTGTTACTCAGACTCACCACTGTTGAGTTGGTCCTGACCCACAGTGACCCTCTATCAGATATCTGAAGTGTGAGTAGCAATGGGAGATTATCTGCCTTTTCCACCCCCTCCACCCCCCCAGGGCCACTGGCTGGTGCATTCAAACCACCAGAGATGGGCAGCCTTGGGTTTAGTGACGCAGCTTGTGGCCAGTGCCCTCTCCAGGTCCCTAAGTAATGGGAATGAAAAGTTTTCCTTCAACTAGTTGCTAAAAGGTTGGCGGTCATAGCAACACTATGAGTACTGACCTGATGATCTCATTCCATAAGTATCACAGTCTACAACACTTTCTGGAACAGACTAGTCTCTGTCTTCTGGAGCACTGTAACCTGGGGATGTGTGAGCTGGAATTTACTTGATGCCATGCTCTTTTGTTTTTGTTTTTTTTTATTAATTGTGCTGTAGATGTTCTTTTTGGTGATATTGATACTACTTAGCCCTCCGTGTGTGTGTGTGTGTGTGTGTGTGTGTGTGTGTGTGTGTGTGTGAAAGAGAGAGATGGTGACGTTCCCAACTACTAACTAAAGGTTGTAGGTTCGAACTCACCCAGAGGTGCTTTTCAAGAACTACCTGGAGGGGCTGGCTCTGCACATGGTGGGGGGTGGGGTGGCCACACTCCTGGCGAGTGTATGGGTTTTGTTGTGGCTTGTAGGTTAAATGAGTTTGTGTGTAGAGCATGTTGCTGGGTCCCTCTCAGTGGTAGGGCCAAAGAGAGTGTACAAACGTCAATCTCAGAAATAGGTGGGAGTCTGAAGGGTCTCTAGAGAGTGGAGAACTAAGGAAATTTACAAGACTATCTATGGGTTGTTTTACTACTTCTCCCTGTCTGCTGATTTATGTTTGTGTGTCTTTCCTTTTTTGTATGTGTGTGTCTTTCTCTGTCACTTTGCTGGGATCTGATCTGATACAAAGGTCTGTCTGCCCCTTCGAGCAGCTTTTCTGTGACGCTGAGTGGAAGATGACCTTCCTTTGCTGCCTCTGGCCTCTTGCCATCTTCGCAGTCTCTCCTTAAATCCTTTTCTCATGTCCCCAAGTCTATTCTGAGACATATACCCTCTGTGTGCCTTCTCCATTCCCAGAACTGGGCTCATTACCCCTCTGAGTCCCCCGAGCTCAGAGACGCCCCTGCCTCCACCGCTACCCCCAGGACTCCCCACTTACGAGCAAGCCCTGGAGGCCTCTGGGATGCACGACGCACCTCCACCTCCTTACACCAGGTACTGGGCGGGGCCTCTGCCTGGGGGCGGGGCTTAGAGAGACGGCAATGTGGGAGGTGGGGCATGCGCTCCTGGGCGGGACTTGGAACGTTGAGCTTGTTGTCTGGGGCGGGGCTTGGGGCTCGGGGGCGGGATCGATGCACTCGTCTAGGGGCGTGGCCTCGCGTTGTATGTGTGGAATATTATAGGAGGGTGGGACTTGTGCCCATTGGTTGAGAGCAGGTCCGAGTGGTCTTGGCCGTAGGGTGGTGGTTGGGGAGAAAGAGCCGGGTCTTTTCTTTGACTCTCCATGGTGCCCCTCCCCTCGCAGCCTCAGGCGGTCTCCTCACTGAAGAACAGTTTTGGAGCCCGAATTCCCACAAACTACCTGATTACCGGACTCTGGAAGCCTTTAGGCCTCTGACACCTCAACTGAGAGAAAGAGCATGGTGCGCCTGGGAGTAAGGGTCTTCCGGCCTGAGGCCTACCCTGTGGGCACACGAGTTTCTAACACGAACTGGCACATGCATTTCCAGTGTGTTCACGGGTCTCAGCAAGCCCCCTCACTCTTCTGATCCCCGGCACCCACCAGCCCCGCCCTTGGAGCAGGCACTCGCGCGTGGGAACCAGGACTTGTACGCACGGACCGGTTCTGCGGACTCGTGTGTGAGCAAATGTGACCCAGCCATCGCCCTGCAACGCCACGGGCCTCGCACATGCAGAGCCCCGTGCATGCACACGCGTGTCTTCGTGCGCTCCCCGCGAATGCACTGGGGCGCTTAAAATCCAGGGAAAGAGAGGGTGGGGGGACAGATTGCAAGAGTGCTCATTGGGGCAGCCTCGCATTGCATCTGCAGTGACTGAATTTGAGCTGTTCCTCTAAATAAAAAACTATATGAAAAAGCAGACCTCCAAAAGACTGAAACAATGCGAAAGAAATAAAGATCCGATGAACTGAACCGAGTTCCCAGGCGCGTCTGCGCGCGGCCGAGCTGGTTTTCTGTGCAAACGCAGCGCCCTACACCCCCAGGCCCTGCTTGCTCCCTTCTCTCTCTCTCTCTCTCTTTTTTTTCTCTTTTGCACGGGATTGTGGGAGGAAGCGGAGCGCAGCCAGACACCCCGCCGCCCGCCCCCCCTTCCCCTCCCCCCTCCCCCAGCCGCCTTGTGCAAAGATGGCTGCACCGTGAGCGCAGAGGAGGAGGAGGCGGCAGCGGCGGCGGCGAGAGAGCGAGCACCCAACGCCCGCACCCACCCCGGGGGCCGCCCGGGACGCCCCCTCCCGAGCGTGCGCCCCCCCTTCTCTCTTGCAAGCGCCTGGGCAAAGGCGGAGACAGCGGGGTCCCTCCTCCCCCCCTTTCCCTCCTCCAGGGGGAACCCCCCTTCCCCCCTCCTTGGCTCGGCGGCTGCACCCCCTCCTTCGCCCGCCCCTCCGCCCCAGTCCCCTCCCTCCCCCGCCCGGGGCCTTCCCGGGCCTTCGGCGGCTGCAAAGAAAAAGAGAGAGAGAGAGAGAGAGAAGGGGGGAAAAAAGCAGCGGAGGGAGCGGCGGCGGAGGAGAGCGCGCGCGCGCCCCCTCCCTCCCTCCCTCCCTCCCCCTCCCCCCAATTTCCACCGCGGCCAATTCATGGACAGGAACTACCCCAGCGCCGGCTTCGGGGACCCGCTCGGCGCCGGGGCGGGATGGAGTTACGAGAGGTCAGCGAAAGCTAGGTAAGGAGTCACTGGTGGCCTGGAGGAAGGGGCCAAGGGGTGGGGGCCCAGCCAGGCCGGGCCGGGCCCGCCCGGCGACGCGTGCATCGTAAACTCCCCTCCGGCTTGCAAGGGAGCGGCCTTCCTCGCTTTGCAACAACGCCGCCGCACCAGTTTGCAAATTGCAAACTCTGCCGGCACCTCTTCGGCTATGCACAGGGGGCAATGCAGCGGGGGAAAAGGAGGTGCAAAACAATTTGGGTACGGGAAGGCCTTGGGAAGGTGGGAGGGACTGGCCCGGCGAGGCCTGGACTTCCCCCCCCCCCCATAATCCTTCGATTCCGGACTAGCTATCCTCTCCCGCTTTGCACCTCAGCCTCTTGCATAAATGGGAAGGAGAGGAGAATTAGAACGCAGAGCTGGGGGGCGCGCGCCCCCCGCCTGGGTCCTATTGTTCCGTGACTACTCGAGGCCGCGAGACTCGCCGCCCCCCCAAGAAATTCCGCGCGCAGAGTGGGCGCAGGGCCCCGCCCCCTTTCTAAGCTGGGGTTCTGTGTATGCATAAGGGGGGGTCCAGCATCGAGGACACGCCCCCTTCTACTCCCCCACCTCTAGAGGCCCGGAGTGGAGTGTTTGACCTCCTGAGTGTAGCTCACGGATTGGGCCTGTTTTCCTTGGAAGTGTGGGGTGTTTCCCGGTGTGTGTGTGTATATGTGTGTATGAGCACGGTCCCGTGCGTGCGTGCGTGCGTGGTTGATGGTCTGTTCACTTGCCGATCTCCCCCTTTCCCGCTGTTTTGTGTCGCGCCCTCGCGCTTCACCTGTCCCCGCCTCCCCCAACATACACCTGGAATGTCCAGCAGGGCTACCCATGACCTCACGTGTATCAGGACTTTGTGTGGAATTCCTCACTTGATTATTTTCCCCACGAGTGAGTTGGATACACGTTCACTCACACACACGCCAGGCTTTGCCTGGGCCCCTGCATTGAACCTGAACCCCAAAGGGGATGATCGGTGTTCAAGTTTGCACACGTACCAGCTACTTTTTCCTGGTCCTTTCCCACCTCCCCCCCTCTACTGGTTTTGGGAACACTCTGCCCCTAGCTTCGACTCGTTTTCCAATACCCCATAAGACTCAGGGCCTGCATGTCCCACGTGTCTGTAGAAGAGGGGGCGTCCATGTGACCTCAGGGGTTGGCCTGGGGGGCAGAAAGCGGGAGACCCAGAGCCAACGAGGATGTCCACGCCTTATTTTAAAAACTCAAGGTACTTCCTCTGAACCTCTCGTGTTTATTTCGCCTCTGCGCACATCAGTTTGTAAACGTGAAATTATGGCGCCATATCTACTGGGCTCAGGAGCTGGGGGGGGGGGCATTTTCGTCTCTTTTTGGCTGAGGGCTTCATTTCTCCAGTCTTTTGACCCCACAGACCCAAGGGTCCCTTGGATAACCCCCAATCAATCGGGAGGTTCCTCCCCAGCGCCTTGGGGGAATTTCCTGATCTCCCTTCTTTGAGAGCTCAAGAAGGCACCCTGACATCTCCTCTGTTCCCCCTTCAGCTTGGTCTATGGCAGCTCCAGGACCTCGCACCCCGAGACGGACATCTTACACCGCCAGGCCTACGCGGCCCCCCACCCACTGCAAAGCTATGCCACCAACCACCACCCTGCAGGTATGGCCCCTGGCCCTCCCCGCTCAGCCTGGTCCGCCCTCCGAAGCAGTTGGTTGGCTGCTGAAAGTTCCGCCCCTCCTGGTTGGTTGTTCGCCACGTCCTGCCCCGCCCCTTGCTGTCTCTCCTCTGATTGGTTGCCTCCGAGGCTGGTTAATTTCAGGCTGGATTCGTCGGCCTCTGCTCCGGCCCCGCCCCTCTTGCTCCAATTGGCTCTGTCCCATCAACCCCTCAAATCCCACCTTCCTTTCCAGGCCCTTCTTCCTCCATTCAACCCAGCCCAATCCCATCCCTCTGGATTTCCCCAGGCCGTGATTCCTTGATCCTCTGAGTTCTTTCTTCCTAATGCCCTTTCTTTCTGATCGATTGTATTCCTGCTCGTGTTTTGGAGAAATTGTCTGTTGTTTCTCTTCTTGGTTGTTCCCGCAGTGATTCTAATTGGGTCTGTTCTTTTGGGTTTTTCCCCCTACTGATCCAATGCGGCCCGGTGTGATCCTTGACGGCCTTGTTGTACTTATTTAATTGTTTAGATCCTCTCACCTTGAATCAGCTTTTTATAAACTCTGCTTCTTTCAGTTATTACATATTATCGCTTCCTCGTGGACATTGCCCAAATTACTTAGTCTGTCCTCAAACCTTGAGGCTGACCGCGTCCTTTTTGACCCCTGTTCCTTTTACTTTTCCGATCTTTGTTTTTAACTGCTCTTCCCACCTGGGCTCCTTGCCTTTTATTGGTTTTCTCCCGACTTGCCTTATTCTCACCCTCAGAATTCCCTGACTGAATTCTCAAATCTTGGTTTTGCCCACTTTCTGTTGTTTTCCCTTTTTTCCTTCCCTAGAATCCTTTTCCCTTTTTTCTTTTCTCCTGCACTCTGCTAGCCCCTCCACCTAACTGACTGCTCTCTGTGTGTCCTTGGCCAGGCCTCTCTGGACTCTTTGACACTGGCCTTCACCACGCGGGCTCAGCTGGGCCCGACGCCTCCGTCATGAACCTCATCTCCGCCCTGGAGTCTCGGGGGCCCCAGCCTGGTCCCTCTGCTTCGTCTCTCCTCTCCCAGTTCCGCAGTCCTTCCTGGCAAACAGGTAAGCCACAGTTAGCAGCACAGAAGGGCAGGGATGGTATTGGCTTGTGGTCCACTCTGACCTATGGTCTCTTCCTCAGCCATGCACACGCCAGGCCCTACGGAGCTCTTCATCTCGGGTGCCCTGCCAGGTTCCAGCACCTTTCCGTCTTCCTCTGCCCTGTCGGCCTACCAGCACCCGGCTTCCTTTGGCAGCCGTCCCTTCCCAGTGCCCTCATCCCTGAGCCTCCAGGATCCCCCATTCAGCCCACCTGCTAATGGTCTCTTGTCTCCTCATGATGTGTTACACCTAAAGCCCTCACAGGCACCCACAGTGCCCTCCTCACTGGGCTTTGAGCGCCTGGCAGGGGGTGGTGTCCTTGGTCCGGCTGGTCTTGGCCCAGCCCAGACACCCCCTTACCGCCCTGGTCCCCCAGACCCACCGCCACCTCCCCGCCACCTCCCCACTCAGTTCAACTTGCTGGCTTCCTCTTCTGCTGCGGCAGCTGCTGCCGAGCAGTCCTCCCCACAGCTCTACAACTTCTCGGGTGCTGCTCCTGGTCCGCCGCCGCCTGAACGGGCCCTGCCCCGCCAGGACACTGTCATCAAGCACTACCAGAGGCCAGCCAGTGCCCAGCCCCCACCGCCCCCACCACCAGCTCACGCCCTCCAGCATTACCTGAGCTGTGGTGGTAGCTACCCTTCTATGGGGCACCGGGCCAACCTGGCCTGCAGCCCCCTGGGTGGTGGGGAGCCCTCCCCAGGAGCTGGTGAGCCGAGCAAGGCTGGACCAAGTGGAGCCACGGCTGCGGCATCGGGCCGGGCCACTGGTCCAGAGGCGGCGGGGGGAGGTGGTGCCGGGGCTGGTGGTGGGGGTTACCGCCCCATCATCCAGTCTCCCGGTTATAAGACAGGCAAAGGAGCTTATGGAGCAGCTGCAGGGGGGGCCACTAGGCCCCCACCGCCCCGCTCAACTGCCACACCCAAATGCCAGAGTTTAGGGGGACCAGCAGCTGCCTATGCCTCTGGGAAAGCCTCTGGGGCTGGCGGAGCCGGGGGCCAGGCATACTCCCCTGGTCAGCCTCAAGGGCTTTTGGGACCCCAGGCCTATGGGCAAGGGTTTGGAGGGGGGCAGGCACAGGACTTGAGCAAAGGCCCCAGCTATTCTGGGGGTCCCCAACAGCCCCCCAGCGGCCCCCCTCCTACTGGCCTGGCCACATGTCAGAGCTATTCTCCGGACCAGCTACAAGGGCAGCTCTATGGTGTGCAGGGTGAGCCGTACCCAGGGCCAGCTGCCCACTCTCAGGGCCTGCCCACCGCCAGCCCCTCACTCAGCTACAGCACCGGCCACTCGCCGGCACTCTCCGGCCACGGAGGTGGCTGGGGCCCCAGCTCCCTGGGCGGGGGCGGCGAAGCCAGCCCATCTCACATCATTCGGCCACTGCAGTCACCGCCTGCCACCGGCCGCCCGCCTGGAGTCGCCTCTCCTGGAGCTCCCGGCAAGTACCTGAGCTCAGTGCTGGCCTCGGCCCCGTTCCTGGCGCCCCCGGGAGCTGGTACCTATGCGGCTGGAGCAGGTGGCTACAAGGGCAAGGGAGACGGCTCCGAGCTGCTGGCGGGCCCTGGAGGGCCACCAGCCGAGCGCACAGAAGATGAGGAGTTTCTGATCCAGCACCTCCTGCAGGCTCCCAGCCCCCCTCGGACCTCAGGGGCAGACGGCTTGGTGGGCGAGGACGGGCCAGCAGATGCCTCCAAGGGACTTGGGGGGGGTGGCGGGGCTGGGGGCCCTCCGGGCACACCCTACGAGCTAGCCAAGGAAGACCCCCAGCGGTACCACCTACAGAGTGTCATCCGCACCAGTGCAAGCCTGGATGAGGGAGCAACAGCCGCCCTGGAGCTGGGCCTGGGGCGGCTGAAAGAGAAGAAGAAAGGGCCAGAGCGGGGTGGTGAGACCCCAGAGGGCTTGGCCACATCTGTGGTCCACTACGGGGCTGGTGCCAAGGAGCTGGGGGCGTTCCTGCAAAAGAGTCCACCTCCTCCACCATCCTCGGGCCAGCCCGCTCAGCCTACACCCCACGGCCTCCTCTTGGAAGCCGGGGGTCCCGACCTTCCACTGGTGCTGCCTCCGCCTCCACCCCAGCTGCTGCCGTCGGTCCTCAGCCATGCCCCCAGCCCCTCTCCTGGTGCCCCCAAAGTTGGCGTCCACCTCCTCGAGACAGCCGCCCGGGATGGAGCCCCCCAGCCTCCGCCGCCCCCACCCCCGCCCCCCATTCCCCTCCAGCTGGAAGCCCATCTCCGCGGCCACGGCCTGGAAGGTGCCGCCCCCAGCCCGCGCCTGCGCCCCGAGGAGGGCCTGGACCCCCCAGGGACCATGCAAGAACTGCTGGGGGCCCTGGAACCACTGCCTCCGGGCCCCGGTGACACCGGCGTGGGCCCCCCAAACGCAGAGGGGAAGGACCCAGCAGGCGCCTATCGGAGCCCCAGCCCGCAAGGCCCCAAGGCGCCCCGCTTTGTGCCCCTCACCTCCATCTGCTTCCCGGACTCGCTGCTTCAGGACGAGGAGCGGAGCTTCTTCCCCACCATGGAGGAGATGTTCGGGGGAGGCGCAGCTGACGACTACGGCAAAGCCGGGCCCCCCGAGGATGACAGTGACCCCAAGACAGGCGCTGGGCCTCCGCCAGGTCCTCCAGCCTATGACCCCTACGGGCCCTATTGCTCAAGTCGGGGTTCTGGAGGTGGCCCTGAGACGCCGGGGCTGGGCCTGGACAAGCCCCCGGAGCTGCCCTCCACGGTCAACGCTGAGCCCCTGGGTCTCATCCAGAGTGGGCCCCACCAGGCTGCACCGCCGCCGCCGCCGCCACCGCCACCCCCGCCGCCCACCTCCGAACCCAAAGGCGGCCTGACCTCGCCCATCTTCTGCTCCACCAAGCCAAAGAAGCTGCTGAAGACGTCCTCCTTCCACCTGCTGCGCCGCCGGGACCCTCCCTTCCAGACCCCCAAGAAGCTCTACGCACAGGAATATGAGTTCGAGGCCGATGAAGACAAGGCCGACGTGCCCGCGGACATCCGCCTGAATCCCCGCCGCCTGCCCGACCTCGTGTCCAGCTGCCGCTCCCGCCCAGCCCTCTCGCCGCTCGGGGACATCGACTTCTGCCCGCCCAACCCTGGCCCCGATGGTCCCCGCCGCCGAGGCCGCAAGCCCACCAAGGCCAAGCGCGATGGGCCACCCCGGCCTCGTGGGAGACCCCGCATCCGCCCCCTCGAGGCCCCCAGCACGGTGGGACCGGCCTCTGCATCCACGCCCACCGATGGGGCCAAGAAACCCCGGGGCCGAGGCCGAGGCCGGGGCAGGAAGGCCGAGGAGGTGGGGGCGAACCGGCTGGAGCCCCTGAAGCCACTTAAGGTGAGAAAGTGGAAAGGCTGAGTCCTGAAGGTCTAACGGGACTCGGGTAGGAGGCAGTCAGGGCTGCAAATCTGAGGGAGGAGAGGGCTGGGACCCCCCAACCCAGGAGTAGGAGAGAAGAGAGATGAGATGGACCAAGATTGCTGGTTTGAGGGAGAAAGGGCTGAGGTGTCTGTGGTCTGAAGCAGGAGGAATCTAGACACCCAAGCTGTGAGGTCTGAGGGAGAAGGGACCGAGGAATCTGGATTCTTGTTCCAAAGGACCCGGAGGCTGGGGACCCTGTGGGGTCCGAGGTGGGTGGGACACCCACATGAGTCTGGACTCTTGGGTCCTAGTGGGAAAAGGGCTTGAGCCTGACCCCCCAGTCTGGTATCAGAGCCCTGACAGCCAACCACTTTTATTTTAGATCAAGCTGTCCGTGCCCAAGGCAGGCGAGGGCCTGGGTGCCTCCTCGGCTGATGGCGTGGCAGGCGCTGACCACAACAGCCTGGATTCGAGCCTGACGCGGGAGAAGATCGAGGCCAAGATCAAAGAGGTAGAGGAGAAACAGCCCGAGATGAAGTCAGGCTTCATGGCCTCCTTCCTGGACTTCCTCAAGTCAGGAAAGCGCCACCCGCCGCTGTACCAGGCCGGCCTGACGCCCCCACTTAGTCCCCCAAAGAGCGTGCCACCCCCGGTGCCCACCCGAGGCCTGCAGCCCCAGCCCCCCGCCACGCCCGCGATGTCACATCCTCCACCTGCCGGCGCCTTTGGGCTGGGGGGCGCCCTGGAGGCTGCTGAGAACGAGGGTCTGGGGCTGGGCTGCCCCTCGCCCTGCAAACGCCTGGACGAGGAGCTGAAGCGAAACCTGGAGACTCTCCCCTCCTTCTCCTCTGACGAGGAAGACTCTGTGGCCAAGAACCGGGACCTGCAAGAAAGCATCTCTTCGGCCATCTCCGCCCTTGATGACCCTCCTCTCGCCGGGCCCAAGGACAGCGCTGCCCCAGATGGGCCCCCTTTGGCCCCTGCAGCTGCAGTTTCCGGGCCACCTCCTCTCCCAGGCCTTCACAGTGCTGGTGGCAATGGTTCACCAGGTGAGGTTGACAAGGTGGGGTTGCAGCTAGGGCGTTGACATTTGCCTTGAGTGAGGTTCGTTTTCAGAGACAAGGTCGCCTGGTACGGTTGTCAGGGTTGTACACTGTTCAAGGATGTCATTTTTTATTCATGCGGAGCGCCCGTGACGTAAAGTGTGGTTAACTGAAAGTTCAGTAGCATGAATCTACTTTTAAGGGAAAAAGACAGTCTTTATGAAGATATATAGCTAAGAGGGGTATGGAGGCTGGGATGACTTTGAAGAGTATGTAAGATAAGGGATAGAACTGGGTAATTGGAAAACAGAGACTCTGTGAGTGTGGTTTAGGCCAGGGCCTTAAGTAACTGGGTGAATCTTGACTATGAATCTTGACCCTGGACCAGGTGTTATTGCTTGAGGAAGGCCTTGGAGGAGATGCAAAGGGCTTTAATGAGGGGTGCAAGAAACTCTATTGGCATAGTTCATTGTGTATTGGGGCTGTTAATCCAAAGGTTGGCTGTTCACGTCTTCTCCAGCCATCATTCCTCAGGAAAAAGCTGAGGAATCGCTTTCTGTAGAGAATTAGAATCTCAGAAGCCTGATGAGATGAGATTTGAGTCAAAAGTGACTCAAAAGAAAAAAAAACCCAACCAACCCCCAAAATACCGCACTACTGACTCAAAAGAGAGTAGATTTGGTTGATTTTTGTTGTTTCGATCAAGGGAACAGTGGTGTTGGAGGATGGAGACGGGGTGGAGGTCACACAGGGGACAGGTTGAGAAGGGACATACAGGTGCAGACAGGCCTGAGGAGGCCTCAGTTCTGCTCGGACTTGCAGGCTGACATGGGCCAAAGTGGACCCGTTGGAAGTGGGTGTGTTTTTGGGGTTTACAGTTGTTCCATAGGTTTTCTGACCCTTTCATCTTTACAGAACAGAGTCCTGGTAGTGCAGTGTATACAGCAAAGCTATTAATCCCAAGTTTTAGCTGTTACAGGGAGATGAAGGATGAGGCCGCAGGTTTCCGTGAAGTCACAGAAACCCTGTGGAGTTGTTGAATTCTGACACCAATCGTCCCCACGAATCAGAATCCACTCGATGGCGGTGGATTCGGGGTTAAATTTATCATTTTCACACAAGTAGACGGACACGTTCTTTTTTCTCCCTGCAGAGTAGGTTCGAACCGCTGACCTTATGCTGGACAATCGTCCCCTGGTTGCATGGGGCCAGTCACTCAGTCAGCTTGAAGTATCTCTATAGCTCTAGCAATGAGCAAAGGGTGGAGTTGTAAAGGAAATGATGGTGTTGCTGTCAAGGGAGGCGCCAAGGAAGGGTCCCCCAATTCTGTTTCTATCCGTGACACCTCTCTTGTCTCCAGAACCCCCACTGCTGGAGGAGAAGCCGCCGCCCACTCCACCGCCTGCCCCGACCCCTCAACCACCACCACCGCCACCTCCACCACCGCCGCCGCCGCCACCAGCCCTGCCGTCACCACCCCCACTGGTGACCCCCGCACCCAGCTCGCCACCTCCACCTGCACCACCTCCGCCGCCGCCACCCGCACAAGCCCTGCCTTCCCCGCCCCCGCTGCCTCCGCCGCCGCCACCACCACCACCTCCACCAGCTGCTGCCCCTCCCGAGGAGCCCGCCGCCCCGTCCCCCGAGGACCCCGAGCCGCCGGACGCACGGCCCCTGCACCTGGCCAAGAAGCAGGAAACGGCGGCCGTGTGCGGGGAGACGGACGAGGAAGCCGGCGAGAGCGGCGGGGAGGGCATCTTCCGAGAGCGGGACGAGTTTGTCATCCGGGCCGAGGACATCCCTTCCCTCAAGGTGAGTCCAGGGTCCCCTGCTCGCAGAGGGGACCTGGGGACTGAGAGAGTGCTGGCTGGAGTGACTTGACTGATGGATGTCAACGTACCTGTGTACATGATCTTGGGTGTGTAACTAGGACAGGCCAGTCCCTGGTGAAGGACATCGTGTTTGAATGAATGACTTGGTGAAAAAGAGAAAGACGCTTGGCAACGTGGATTGTTGCAGTGGCAGCAGCCACGGCCCCAAACTCAGCAGTGGCTGTGAGGGTGCCACACGATTGAGTAGGGTTTTGTTTGTTTTAAATGTTATTATTTTGTGTGTGTACCATCAAATACAATCTGACTGGTACAGGAGGAGATTGCCCCTCCTTCTCCAGCAGAGCATCTGGTGGATTCGAACTGCATACCTGTGGGATTGCAGTGCAGCTTCTTGCCACTAGGCCACCAGAGCTCCCCTTAGGGTTTTATTTTTGTTGTAGCTATGAGTTGGAACTGATTCTAGGGTCCTTAACATGCCTGGGAATCGGAGACCCTGAGTGGCAAGGAACAGTTTTAAGTGATGGTCAGCTGAAGGGCATGGCTTTTTTGAGAATGAGGCACCTCGCAAGAAAGGCCTGGTGATCCACTTCCAAAATTCAGGCTGCTGAAAGCCCTGTGGCGCTCACTTCCATTCTGACGCGCACGCAGGGTCACTATGAGTCAGAATGGAGCCTCCGGGAATAGGTTCAGTGGTTGGTTGGCTGCTGTGTTTGTCTTACCTGGAGACGGATTAAAATGATTGGCAGGTTGATTGGGGGATGCTGTGTGTGCTGTTAGCTTCCTGGGTGTCATTGATTCCAACTCATCAGCACCTGCCTTACAGAGTGAGAGGCACTCCCGTTTTCTAGGCTGTAATCTTTGTGGGGGACAATGACTAGGGAGGATAGCAGGAGAATTGATGCCTCTGAGCTGTGGTGTTGGAGAAGAGTGTTGAATATCCCACGGACTGCTAGGAAAATAAACAGGTTTATCCTGGAGAGGGTTAAACCAGGCTGCTCCTTGGAGGCAAGGATTCTGAAGCTTCGTCTGACATACTTTGGACATGTTGTAAGGAGGGACCAATCCTTGGAGAGGGACATCATACTTGGGAGAGTGGAGGGACAGCTCAGGAGAGGAAGACCCTCGATGAGATGCATTGATTCGCTGACTGGGGTAATGGGGGTAGGTGTGTTGGAGATGGTGAGATTGGCACAGGATAGAACTGTTGTACACCGGTTGCTATGAGTTTCAGGCATCTCGATGGCACATAACAACCACAACAGTCTTTCTGGGAAGCACAATGGTTCAAGTTATTGGGTGGATTCAAACTGCCAGCCTTGCAGTTAGCAGCTGAGAGCACTCGGCCACTTGCGTCGCCAGACCTCTGTCTCTGGGAGCTACAACTCCAAGACTGAAGTGCAGAGGAGACACTATTCTTGTTAAGGAGTTGCACTGCCAACCCAAAGGCAGGCAGTTCGAATCTACCAGCTGTGCTGTCTTTGAGCATCTCTGCAGCGTGCAGGAGCGTGGGAGTGGCCGAGATGGCTCACGGCGCCAGTAGGCTTGCTTGATAATACGGGGAGGCCACAGACCTTCCGTTTGTGAAGAAAGCTGTGTCTGCCAAGCACTGTACGATGTGATCAGCTCCATCTGTGCGCGGCTGGTGAGAACTCAGAGTCGTCTATGTAGCATATTTATTTGTATTCGTTTTCTACACCTTCAGAACCATGTACCACAAACTGGGTAACTGAAAAGAACAGAAATGTATTGTGCTGTGGTTTAGAAGGCCAGAAATTCGAATTAAGGTGTCAGCCAAGCAGCGTTCCTTCTGGGGGCTTAGGGGGAGCCGCTCCCAGCTT